GTACCTCTAGCAACATTACAGTTCAGAAAGAACTGTTACGAATATTATAAAATAAATGTTACATTCTTTAGAGTAAAAATAATAAAATGCGCGATTTTGTAGATAAATGTATAGTATAAAGCGGCACAATACGTTTTGCACATTTAAGCGCAGACATCTTCAATCAATACAGGCATTTGAGAAACAATAATTACTTCGCTCAGTTTTTCGCATATTTTTAACTGACGCGCTATGACCCAACAAATAAGTATTTATCGTATTAGTCACCAGCAAAAAGAGCTTTGTTTTTTGTTTGTTTTATTAATAATCGTTTATGAAATAGATAAGGTATAGGACAGGAAGGGGGGGGGGTACTCACATATGAAGGTACATATGATTTGCCCCCAACGTGGGTTACTTTTCTCCCAAAAATTCTTAGATATGAGACTACTTTTTCGGGGAAAAATCGCTAAATATGTTGCAGATGTCAAAAATTTTGAAAATCTTATTTAGACCAAATTTGGACAAATATTTCTTGAAATGATTGCAATTTCACCAAAGGCTTGTTTCTCTCGCCCGGGAAATGGCGTTTTCATTTTGTAACTTTTCATACCAAAATGTCTAGTCTAACGATTTCTGTACGCAGAAGCACTGAAACGGTATTTATGAAAACACTTGTACATCTGTTTGGGGTTTGTGCATTCATTCTTTGTGTAGATTTTAATTAGTTTAAAAGCTATCCAGTCCAATAAATACGGCTGGAAGATTTTATTGGTTAAAAAAAATTGGATTTACCCTTTGCTCTTATGGCTTCCTATATTGAATTTTGAAAGACAATATGTAACAAAGTTATAGCAACAATGCACAAAACTAGATGCTTAAAGCGCGATGGTCGTCGCGCAGCGCGTGCTCGAATTTCATGTAAATAAACAATGTATTTTACACGCGTTGTATACGTCGCTATGAGTCCCATATCGAACAGGACGCGACACGACGACTGTCGTCCTTTAATGTTGAATGATGCTTGATTGCGTTTTTTTTTCTTATGAACATTAGAGTGAGACTTATACTTGCAAGCATATACAATAGATAAAGCTGGGATAACTAAGGTTTACATAGTCGCCTAAGGATGAAATCACCAATAATTACGACCGAAAGATGGATTGACAGAAGTTACACAGCTTCTCCAATATATATACTGTGTCCCGATGAATTTTAGCCAAAGTTAAAATTCAGTTTTCATAGAAGAGATCCGTGCGACATGAGGGACATGCGCCCTCTGGTGTCACAGAAGGGTAATTAGATTGTTTTTGTTTCATTTCTAACATGACAGGACAGTATTTCAGGTTAGTTTGATATTACTTTGTATGTCTAATAGAAAGTTGTTTTTATCATATATTTTATTGTTCTTGCTGTAACGAATGTTTGACATCATTTTTTGTATAAGTTTCATTTAATTTTTGTTCTTTTGCCAATGTCTAATTCTTGGAATAAAGTCCAATTTTTGGTACATCGTCTTACTTCTTTACGTGCGGTATCAGTAATTGTTATAGTTGGGCGCCCTCTTACACCGTTGGCGTTTATCTGATCAGTGGTCATTTGACTGAACTTTGTGATGTTATCTTATTTCGTCCATCCCAGTACCAGGTCGCACCAGATAAACAAGTGAATTAAATTTAAAAACGTTGAATACTGTTCTGTTGAGGCGCTAGGGGATTCGGACCTTGTTAAATTGGGTGTGTCTGTATATCTGTATTTACTTTTGGCATTTTACATGTGTTTCAATGGGAAATACTTACACTCAGGAAGAACGAACCGAATACGAAAATATTATTGAATTTTTGTACAAAGAAATAAAGAAAAACTCAACAAAAAGTATTTTTATATCTTTTTACAATATTATATTATATTATATAAGAAATTCGGAAATTGTGTTTTTTAAATACTTCGGTAATTTCCTCCATGTCCAGTGTTTACTCGTAAGCACATGGTTTGATAATAAAACTTACAACATGGATTATCTTGCTAGTAAAGCAAAAAACGATCGAACTTTTAATAAATTTGCAACGCGTTGCATTCTGTGTATATTTTCTGCATATTACATGCGTTAAAATTGGCTACATGTCATAACAACTACTTGGAAAGTAACAAAGACTAGTAAATGTTAGAAGAATGACGCGATTGTGCATATCAACAATATCAAAATTAATGAATTTAAGTAACTAATTGTCTAGCTCTGTCTCTTCTTTGGGTTTCTTTTGATAAATTCATTTATTGTACAAAGCAGGTACATAAATTTATAGATTGTTTTAAATACAAAATATATATGTTTATACCATGTTTTACAATAATTAGACTAATATAATATTCAAAAAATGAATATGTATAAATATGCAAACCATGGACTGTTTGATGGCTCACCGTCGATACACCCCGTGTTTTTGAATTCGCACAAACAAAACAAAATATGGTTATAACGAATCTGTTGTGTTGCCACTTCCTGTGTCTGAGAATCCTGCTGTGTTCCATTGTTTGTCCGCTGGGATTCCTGCTTGCGAGTCACAAGTCCATGGGAGTGTGTTCTCTGTGTCCGTTGCTGGGGAGGCTTATGTGTTCCTGAACTGTCCATATAAACTCTTTGTTTTTCTGAGATGAGAATGAGGTGTGACTCGATCATGTTAAATGATTCAATCATACCTGTTAAAAAAGCTCACAGATAATGATGTTGACGATCTTTGCTCTATTCAATCTCGTCCTGGTAAAATGTATAACATTACTTTCGTCAACACAAGTAAGCGTATTGAATGTGGACAGAACATAATGGCATGTTTAATTGTGAGTAAAATCGTATATAGTTGTTACTGTCTTCATCGAAAATAATGACTATGAGGTTATATATGTAGTCAATAAGGTGAGGTTCTGGCCTAACTAATCACTTTGCGTCCAAAGTATTTAATACAGTATTCAAATATTCCTACTTCTCAATTTCTATTTGAGGCACATGTCATTATGAGGGTCAAGAAAATCGTCCAATAGATGCCAGGGAATATGTAAATGATGATCCTATGGTCGCATCTCAAATTAATACACGATACTGTTCACTATATAATTATGAAACAGGTCAATTTCATGTCCTCCAAATGCAAATACAGTACCATCATCCTTACGTAAGTTTCTTCCCACAAGACCTGTAATAGCAGCTCAATACCAACCCTTACCCAGCGTCTTATTCATCTTGTATCAACATTGAGCACCCCTCCCCCAAATAAAGAAAATCCACTTGTCTCTCAATTCTTTCTCCCAATTGATGTGCCGAGTAATTCAGACCAAGTTCTTTTTCGTCCTTTATCTTTATGCCCGACAGTTTCTGGGATTGAATGTCAATATTGTCTTACCTGGCCTTTTAATGTGCAATTTGCAGGTGCGAGTGCTGACATATAGTGAATTTGGCACTACGTGACAGAGCTGTGTGACCATCACAAGCACCTTTGGGGGTCTTGAGGTCAGTGATTTCAGTGTCATTGTACTAACACAAAATAATTCTCAATCTTTGTCACATCCTACCCAGGTAGATAGATCTTACTCTCAGACCACCCCACATGCAAGCACAGGCAATAAATGGCAGACATCTGGCGCCGAGAAGAGTGCATAAATGACAAATATAACTCTAACCAACTGATGTCATATAAATGCACTCTACAAAAACGCCAATTATACCTGTGTAACACCTATGCCATATTTTATTGCGATTGGTTTAGCTTCCCCTTTCAAAATCTATGCATAATGCCATTGTAAATATAAACATTATAAAAAGGGTATATTCACAACAAAGCACCCCAAAAACCACTGAACACTTGTGCCATTATTACTTACTTTCATGTCATCATTGAGTTCTCCAGTTTGTAACCTCGTGTAGCTAGACCCAGTGTGGTTGGTCCGCCTGGGCGCACATCTTAGTTAAAACATTGAAATCGCTTGCTGAGTGTTGAATGTTGTGAATGTTTGTTTGTCTGTAATTATTTGAAAAGCTGTAAAACAGTTGTGTGCAAAGTGACAAAAGTCGAAAATTGGTGGAAAGTCTAATAATACCGTGCAAATTTGCAAAAGTTGTGCGATAAATCAATAATTGGTTGAAAAATTATCTGAAACATCACAAATTGGTTGGTTCAAGATTGCAGGATTTATTTCAAAAAAAAGTTGGGCGAAAGATTTCAATTGGTTTCAAAGTTGTAGAAGTTAGCTATAAAAGGTTGACGAAATAGTCGCAAAAATGGGATGCAATGTAAAAGAATTTAGTCAAAGAAGGTGTGTAAAGTTTTTCTGTTGTAGATGTTAGCTGGAGAGTTAGAATATTGGTTGCAAAATTATGTTGAAAAATAGAGTGGAATGTCGAAAAATGCTTGCAAAGTTACAGAAGTTAACTGATTAGAAGTTAGACAAATTGAAAACATTGGGTGGAAGATCGAAAAATAGTAAGAGATGGTTTCAAAGTTGCAGAAGTTAGCTGGGAAGTCAAAAATGTTGGATGGAGAGTCAAACATTACTGTGATATTGCAAAGTGTCAAAAGCTATCTGAAAAAGTGTATGAAAGGTTGAAAAATTGGTTTTTAAGTTAGTTGGGTAGTCAAAATTGTTTGAAAAATTGCAGAAGTCTGTTTGTACAATTTTATTATCAAAACAGAATTGTCCTGAAAGTAGAGCTGTTGATTTCCACAAGGGCAGGACCTTATATATAAAAAAGATATATACTTATATGCACTCTGGAGATTAATCCTGGCTGATCTATTTGCAAATGTTGTAACCGACCAGAAAGTGTTGATCCACAGTTATACAAGTCAACATCAGCATAGTCAAATAGGGGTAACACCATCACATTATAAAACATTATTTTGACATATGGTGTGACCTATATTCATATTATGTACAAAAAAATTCCAATAATTCAATGCGCATACAGTGGGAAGGTGTGGAACCAGATTCAGAAAGTCCATTCTTCCTGAAAGCGCACACATATAACTGCCTATGAATAACTTTTCAAAAACATTCATAATTACTGACAATACTGTGCTAGGCTGGTAGTTTGATGAGTCAATTGTTTCACCTTCTTCATACTGATCCGTCATAATGCTGTTTTTCATCGGCCAATTAAAAATGAAACGCAAAGGTGAAACAATGGCAGCAGCAGCCATTCGACAGAGCCTGCTAAGCTGGAAAGTTAGATGGAAAGTAAAATTATATGGGTATAATGTCGAAGAAATAGTTATAAAGTTGCAGAAGTTTACTGTACAGTCAAACAATTTGAATGCAAACTAGAATAATGACTGGAAACATATAAAAAATTATGATTGTGGTCCGGTCCATCTAGTTATTGTGGAAAAAGTGAATGCCATACTGGATTATTCAAGAGCTTTTAGTTTGTACCACCAAAGCTACGATTACCAGATTCGTTTCCTTGTTGATGAAGGTGATTTTGTTGGATTTATTACAATTTAGCTATAAATCGCGCCCTCTTGTTGCTTCTATGACATGGATGAGATGGATGCCACTCAAAGCATCAATATTGCTTTGTTCTGTAAGTATATACTTGGATTGAAATGATATATTATCAAACAGATCAGTGAATGACAGTTTGTCTAGAAAATCTTTGCAGAAATTATTTACAAGAGCAATAATACGTTGCAGGTGCATAATACATTCATTATGGACCAATACAAAACGTCTTTCCATATCTTGAATTCAAAAGTACCTTACTACTAGAAAAACAATTAAGCATTATGAGAATTTATTAGCTAAAAAAGCTAACACCATTTCTTATAACTTCGTTAGATAAATATCACTAGTTAAGGATGTAGTAGACATAACAAGTATGTTATAGTTAGGCTTGATATTTTCATATAAGAATTGTCCTGAACTATAGTAAACCATATATTTTATGAAACCTCTTATCTCA